AGTTGTTCATGGCATGCTGTCAAATGCCCCTTTACCGAAACCACAGTGGATGGTTTCAGAAGACCTATGCGACCGCATAGATTTACATTATGCATCCGCATAGTACATTTTTGACCGCGAATTTTTCTAATTTCACGCAATCTTCTATTTTAGTTAAAACTCTATTTTGTGATATCTTTTGTTATTTTTAGAGTTTAATTTCATTTTACTAGGGTTTTAGGGATTCCATATAAAATAGGGTTATTATATTCGTTGTAAAAAGGAGACACAATTTGAGATATATTATTGCGAGACATTTTTTTTTCTCGTTTATCATTGAATTAATTTTGAACTTATAAAGAATTAAATTCTTGTGGTGTTCTACAATTTAAATAATGTTCATAAGTTTTATGGTCAAGGGGTCAAGACATTGTTAGCGATTGTCTTGATTTTTGGTTCAATAATTTATTGGGTTGAACTTTTCAAACGTTGATTCCTGGCTTTCTTAGGTTTGTTTTAATTTTTTGTAGTTTCCGTAGCTACTGTTGCTACGTGAGTTCGCATCAGTGTGGAGACTAGTGGCGATTGTGAAGACGATAGCAAATTCACTCCGAATGTATATTTATTGTAAATGATGGTGCAATTAGTTGGAACATTGATTTAACAGAGAAATCCAACACAGCTATTTCAGAAGTAACAAAGGAAGCAAGATGGATCAAGAAGTTCGCCAACATTATTGATAAATAACTTTATGTTGTGAAGACAATGGAATCATTGCACAAATGAAGGATTTTCAATGGAATCATTGCACAAGTGAAGGAAACTTGGTCTCACGGTCCAAAGTTGTATTGATTTGGTATCATCTCATTAGGGGATTATAAGAAGGAATGACATAAAGATAGAAAGGGTCCCCACACACGATAATGTAATAGATCCCTTGACAAAGTCGTCGTCAAGCATGGTGGTCATATAAATTCTATATATATTGATGTAGAAGTGATTGGGACCTAGTTTGAGAGGGATTATAGTGATATACTTATTTTTAGACATTGATGAGTATAAACCAATGTTATCAAAATCAGCCTTGCGCGGACTGGTAGAACTGAGAATCACACAAAAAATAGGGCCAATCAGGTCCGATTAACCGACTATAACAAAAATTGTTCAAAACTCGTTGAATCGACAAGTTTAATCATAAATCGGTGAACAGGTGGCGGTTGTACTGTTTTTACCAATTTTAATTTAAAAAGGTGAAAATTACAAAAAACCAGTGTTTTCAAGATTCAATTTCAAATTTCAGATATGAAGTTTCACTTTTCAAAAATCAGATATTTCATTTTTATACAAACCATAATTATACAATCCTCTCAATTACCCTATTTCTCTCCTCAGTCTCGACTCTCTCTATCTTCCCCACCCCTAACCGTAACCCTAACTATTCCGACGCCACACACACCCCCTCATTTGGCACCGGAACCCCCTCGTTTCACTGCGTTATGAAGTTACTATAGAAGCGGCGTTGTGAGTGCGAACAACGATAATGAGGCTATTGCGAACTTACAGCAGCGTTGCCCGCCGCCGCAGCAGAAAATAACCACCATGTATCACTGTCGTAGTGTAGCCGCTCGTAGGACCATAGCGTGCAGCGGTGGGTCGCTCGCACAGGACCATCGTTGTGGATCCATCAGACCCTCGCCTATTCTGTGGCTCCTTTAGATTCGTCAGATCTAAAGCCTAAACCAAAAAACATGAGCCGGCAATGGTTGAAGAAGATTGGTGGTTTTCCTTTTTTTTTTTTTTTTT